GTATTTTAAACTTTTTACTATCGATTTGTATTTTGAATCATGCAGTCAATCGTTAGTAACTTTTCGTTGTCATTTTTAATCATCTGTCATGACAAGATATTAAAAGAATAATAATTAATATTGTTTGTCCCCATAGAATCAAAATTAAATATGAAAATCATACTATTGAATCAGATTAGACAGATCAAGCGTCGAAATAAAAATTTCACATGTAATTCATAGAAATTAAAAAGTACTTGCGATGTCTTTTGTAGCACTTTTCAGGTTTTCTCTAATTTATCAGAGTAATTCTTGTCTGAATGAACGATTGACTATGCGTTGAATAATGAACTATTCATTCGAATTACTATAAACTCAATATATTTTTTAATCAACTAAAGTTTTGTCTTTCAACGTGCTTACAATAAGAAAACCATTGTGTTACACTAACGAAAAGATGAAGAACAATGATTTCTACTAATAAAAATAATCAATACAGCTGTGTCTTTTCAATCGAATATCTTGGGTATAAATATACATGATGATTAATCTGCATAAGAAAGTTGATAACTTAGACAAAATCTCGTCGAACAATCGAAAGAATCTTTGTTTTGAATATCCCAAAAAATTTGTAGTAGAATCATTGAATAGGAGCTATTAGAACATCAGCGGGATCATATATAAGATAAGATTAATTCTATCATTGATAAGCTATATCAAATCAGATAACATGGGTCTTCCATTATCGCCTATTTCACTTGACTTATTGTAGAATATTAATTTTCTAAACGTTAGATATGTTTGTTTTATTCTAGTAGTATATATTTATCTTGTTGAATAAAAATTTAAGCTTGTATAGAGCAAATTTAAGTTTTGAAGAATAAGTTTATATTAACGTAAATAAAAATAATGTAACTATATAGCGAAACTAATAAGTTCTAAGAACAAAAATTTATTAGATAATTGTTAATATATATATCTAAGGCATAGACTGAAGAAAATCAGTTACATAAGTTAAGCCCCCCCCCCCCTCAAAAAAAGTCAATTTTCGTCAAAAATTTCGAAATTGAGATAAATGCATGGGAAGGTAGCCCGTCATCTGCTCTTTCATAAACGATAATTTGTTTTTCTCGTTACTTCATTTTTCCCCAAAAATTTTCAAGATTTCCGTCAACCCCTATTCGAAAAACCAGCTGTTTTTTGAAAAATCAAAAAATGTTTTTCGTTTTTTCTCGGTTTATGGTTTTTTTGATCTTTTGTCCAAGATTTCTCGGTTCAGGCTCTGTCAATATATTTAAATTTTTTTTTTGTTTGAAAGAGCGCGTCGAGATGCAGGGCACTACAGAGTCCTTTTTTTAATTAAGCTTTGTTTTTTATTATATATACAGACACTTATGTGACTGGACACCCATTTTTGGCGCCTTTTTTGAGTCATTGAACTTGCGAGCCCCTTTCTCCGCGAAAAAAGTAAGACTTAAAAAAAAAGGACTCTGTGGTGCCCTGCATCCTGAGATGCTCTTTCAAACAAAAAAAAAATTTAAATATATTGACAGAGCCCGGACCGAGAAATCTTGGACAGAAAATGAGCTATTTTTGACCCTTGTTTGGTTCATATCTCTGTCAAACATCAGGGTATCGAACTGAAAATTTTACCACAGCCTCCCCACTTCAGCCCCAACATATGCTCCGAATTTCAGCCCATTTGAACGTACCTGGACTAAGATCGATTTTTGAGGGGGGGGGGGGGGGGCCTTAAGGGCCATGAATTTAACTATGTCGGCTAATGCAAATTTTTGTCACGAATTTTCGTATAATCTTGTACATTCATATAATGTGTGACTCTACGATCATACGGATTCATAGAAAATCGTTGTCTCTACGATCTTACATCAGAATTTTCATTGAAGTATGTACAAGACTAAACAATATGGTCTTATATGAACATACAAGATCGTACTATTCAGTTTCATGGCATTTTCGCATGCTTATACAATAATTCACATAACTTAAGACTCTGTTCTTTGACAGAGACTAAAGGATCGAGTTTTGTAAAAGCTTATAACATAATGAATATACACATAGAATCAATATTCGAATCGGATGTTGCATGCATCGACATACTCAAATTATTATGCCTTTACTTACGTATGTAACTAAATCACTTGGACTCAAACCTTAGATCTATATATTATAGACTACATGATAATAGCTATAACCTTCATGCTATACCTTATATCTGTCATTACATCCTTCTATTTGTATCTTCACCACCTTATGCTAATACCTAAACTGTTAGACCAATATCCTTGGACCTTTGTCTATATTCTTCTTGCTTTATCCTTATTAGCATTCATTTACACTCTTATGTCCGTAATCTTGCATTCGTATTATTATATCCATTTACTGATATTTGTAAAGTAGTCTATTTTGTGCTTCCACTGTTGCCATTATAGTCATAAACTTATCCTTACGTCTTTACTCACTCATGTTCGTATTCAATTATATAGTTTTATCAGATGTCACATTTTACATACTATATTGCTCTTTCGAGATATGATCTCTTTTTCTTTTCTCTCTATTTCTATGTATCATTTATTGATATTTTATATTTTTGCCTCAAACGATATACATTTATTCTGCAAAGCTTTCTGCTAAGTACTTGGACGGTTATATATTTGTGTGTAAGAAGATATATTTTCACTGCTATAATGTGAATAACTAGTACCACGTTAGGAAATTTTTGTAATTTCGAATAAAGCGAACCACAGAGGTAGACACGCTCTTTTTAAATAGATTTTTATAGATGGTCTTGTATGATCGTGGAAGATTTGTATTTTCTAATCTCACATTTTCTATCTTTTAATTGTTGCAAGATGTTCATTCAAGTCTTGCAGTAATATTGAAAGGATGATCTTAATTAATCTGATGGTAACATCTTATAAAGTCTTGTTGGATCTGACATCTGAATTTTTGACCTGAAAAGTCAATACTCTCTATCTAAATCTGAGTGATTAAATTTGACCGAGTCTAAACAGTCTGGTCAAAAAATAAAACTGAAATATTTGATATTTCTCATACGAAACAGTTGTTGATTCGTCTTAGTACATAAGTCATTCACGAGTAATACGAAAATTGATTCTAAGGTTCAAACCTCATGGATTGATGTAATCTCATCGTTATAAAACTCTGCATCTGGTGAGTGAGATCTCTAAAAAAAACTTTTGGAATTTGGAAAACAGTTAATTTTACATAATCAGACGGAGATTCATTCTTTTTAGAATATAAATAGTCACTGTTTTTCATATCAAACTGTAATAATAGCTAAAAATGATGGCACTGTGAGATTTTTGTGTCATAATTAGATTGACGTACAGAATATTCTTCCAGACATATTGAAAATTCTTCACATTGATAGATGTACAAAAGACGACTTTGAATTCTTCAGCATCACTTCGAAACTTATTCAACATTAGTATGTCTTACCTGTTTGACTGAATTTAGAAGTTTACATTGGAAACGAAAAAAAGAAATATTTCCATACTGATGATCGAATGTCTCAGTTGAACTTTTAAAATATGGTCACGTTGTTTTTTTTTGAAAGATTTCGTAGCGTTAGTGTAAGAAAAAATCTAATTTAAATATTGTTCATCGAATCTGAGTCATCAGAAATCACATGAGGTAATCGAGGTTTTACATCTCTTATTATGAACATCATGAGTGACTTACTCAGTAAAGAGAATTATCATAAATGTTGCAATCCAAAATCTGTTTGTAAATTTTCGTAGAATCTAACTGATTACTAATGAAACCAGTGTATTCACACGAGTCATATATCATTCAATAGGACATAACATTATGCCTTGAAGAATGTATGATTCACAAGTGACTTCTTTACTCACACGAATCACCATGGATTTGACGAAAAATGGTCATCTTTTTCTATGACACCTATAAAATATATATAATTACAAGGATGCTTTTGTAGCTTAACCACTCATGGAAGTCATACTGGAAATAAGTTTGACTCATTTGATAAATTTTCTCCAATATAAAACCAGTAAAATCGCATAAATCAAAAAATAAACTATGGATTTCAACAGATTCGTATATCACTAACGCATTGATACGTCTTGGAAGATGCCTATAAAATCCCGTTAGAACAGAACCTTAAAGCTTTTAAAACGAGTTTTTTGTATAAGTATGTCTGACCTGGGTGTGGGTGGGTGTGGATGTGGGTGTGGGTGTGGGTGTGGATGTGGGTGTGGGTGTGGATGTGGGTGTGG